GTGCCACGCGCTTGGGGGCTGCCCCTTTTCGTGGGGATGTGTCCACAACCGCTGCTTCGGTGGCAAATCATGGGGGTCTGGTATACCCTCAACACTCTGTGTTTTGTCAGTACACTAGCGTCGATTGGCGTCTGGATGTCGACGGGATATCGCTAGCTAGCGTCGGTTTAGCGTAGTGTAGCGGCGATTTGTAGGAGCCATGAGTTGCCGCAGAGCATGATCCCATAACCACCGACTGGGGGACCGGTCATCTGGGACCTCGGCAGTCGGTGTATACGGGTGTACATGTGGCTGAGATGTGTGCGTACGGCAGGTTCGCGTCGTGTCGACCGACGGCGATCGCAGCGCGTGCGTTTCAGGGTGAACGCTGCCCGTGGCCCAGAATCGGCCCGTCGTTATTCAAGTTTGAACGATCCCCGCGGCGTCAGGAATTAACTCTGGGGTCAACTCGGGGCGCCATTTCCCCAGGCGGTGGAAAAGGGTGGATCTCTACCTCGCTTCTTCGGGTGGGACCAGGACAGGTATACATCGACACATAGCGCTCCGGAACGCTCTCAGAGCGTTCTGTCAGGCGATCGCAAACATGGGAAATCGCGGATATCTGCCGCCGAATGATGCTGCATTGGCAGCATTTTGGGGAGGGCACCTCCCCCGATCCATGGATACGGCGACCGCGCGTCAAATCCATGGATCGCTAATCCATGTTTGCGCGCCCCCGATTCTGGGGCGCTCTGGCATGACCGTGGCGCCCGATGCATCTTCCAGAACCGCTGGATCTCATAGATCCCCGTTCGATTTTGTCTCTGTCCAGGCCTTTGTCTCTTGCCCGGCGTCGTCGTCGTCGTCCTCTTACTCCTCCTCCGCCCGCGCGTCGCCCTCCCAGCTCCCCTGCGATCTGGGCGTTGCCTTTTTTTTCATAGCGGGTGGGTTCGCCCAGCTTCGGGCCTAGGGAGCATCACGGACCGCTCGAAAAATGCACCAGAAAGATGTGGTCTGGGGATGCGGTCGTGATTAATGATTACGTTTTGATAACGTTTGGGCTCCCGTTTTGAAGGGATAACGCCCCGCGCCTCTCACTCCTCCTCGCCCCCCCTCCCCTGCCTCGTCCCTCGATTCTATTCCGCATGTCCATGTCGACACACCCCTCACACGTTTCAATGCCCCATGAGGAGCTCCACCTAGGCCAACAAATCGGGGCCCGTATGTCCTCTACACACCATGTCGGCGCTCCCCTCACACGTTCCGTTGCCCTGCATGGAGCTCCACCTACGGCCGCAGTGCCAGGGCCCGCATGCCTTCTCCACACCCTGTCGGCGCACCCCTCACGATCCGTGGCTCCAGATGGAGCTCCACTTCAGGGCCCAATGCCGGGGCCCGCATGCCTTCTCCAAACCACTTCGGTGCATCCTTCACGCGCTTCGTGGCCCCATTGGGAGATCCACCCAAGGCTCCATTCTTAGGGCCCCCATGCCTTCTCCACATAATGTCGGCGCACCACTCACACATTTCGTGGTTCCCATAAAGCGCTCCTTCTTAGGCCCTAGTGCCAGGGTCCGCTATCCTTATCCTCACAATTTCGGCGCACCCCTCACACGCCTCGTGGCCCCCCAGGGGGCTCCACCGACGACGGCACGTACTTGCAACTACGGCACTCGCAACTGCATTTGGTTGGGTCCATCGCCAGGCAGTTTTCCGCGGTGTCGGGTGTTCCTCCGCATGCTCGTCGCCCCCGCCTTCCGCCTCGGAATTGCGTTCTTTCTCTTCTTCCATATTATTGTTCCGCCTCCCCTCTTGGTCCCTGCCCTTCTCTCTCATGCTCCTCCGCGGGGGCGCGGAGGAGCAAGGAGAACTGGGAGGGGGAAAGTGAAGGGGAAGGAGGGATGGGGAGGAGGAACGAGGAGAGGCCAGTGTAAACCAAAGACGCATTAACGATATTGCAAGTCATCCTCCCTCCATGTCCCTTCTGCACAGGCCCCGACAATCATGTATTCTGATTGCGGACATTGCTCAATTGAAAGAAAAACGTCGGAAACTTAACATTCGGCCAGCACGCAATCCATGGGACTTCAACTTCGCGAATGGACATGACCGGTGTGTCCTGGTAATCATAAGCTGTGGCTGCAATACCGCAAGTCAACGTGATTGTTGTGTCCTGCCAATCGTAGACCGTGCCAGAACACCATTCCTGGGAATAGAACCCTACGAACCCTTGGACCCGAATGCAAACCGTGAGACGCAGGCGCGCGGCGCTGGGGCGAGAGCCACAATTTGAAACGGAGCCACCCTTCATTTTTGACACTGCTGTAAGCCTTGAAGACGAGTGCGCGCGGCGCTAGGGCGAAACCCACATCTTGAGAGCCGCCCGCCCTCCGTGTTCGAAACTGTTGTGAGGCTCAGGCCATCGCACGTGGCAGGGAAGGCCGAGGCGAAGCGCCCAGGCCGCCCTGCCAGCACGCCTGGTGGTGCGACGGGGAGTGCTTCATCCGGTGGCTTTCGGCCCATCCCGCCACCGTGCCTGTGGTGGTGGGCATGGAGCACGTGGGGAATAAAAACACACACCAAAAAACACACACACACACACACAAAAACACACACACACACACACACACACACACACACCGTGGGACACAAAACAAAAACGCACGTGGGAAAAAAACGCACACGCGGAGTCCGTGGGCAAAAAACACGGACGTGTGTGTTTTCATCCGGTGGCCTGCGGCCCATCCCACCACCGTGCCTGGGTTGTGTGGGCACGGAGCCGACGCCCGGGATGCTCGCCGGCAGCTCGCGGGAGGCCTCGCGGGGGCCTCCTGGAGGCGGGCCTTGGGGCCTCTCGGGGGCAGTCGCGGGGCCTCCTTTGCCAGGAGGGGAAGAAGCTCGCAGACACACGGTTCGATTCGGTGGATTCGATTCGATTTCGGTGGATTCCGATTCCGATTCGATTCGATTTCGGATTCCGATTTGGGGTCCGATTTCTTATTGGAGGCAATACTAGCCTGCCGATTTCCGCCGATTCGACTTTCCCCGATCCGGCTGCCGATTTCCGCCGATCCGATTCATGTCGATCGCCGATCCGATTTATCGATTCGATTCTGGGTTCTCCTGGGGAGTGCTTTCAGAGCCCCGAATCATCAGGGGTAACTCGGGTCAGGGTTAACTCGGGTTCGTTTTTCGGGGATCCGAACCCGAGTTTCCCCGGACCCGAGTTACCCCGGATAATTCGGGCGTCCAGAGCCCCACATCATCAGGGGTAACTCGGGTCAGGGCTAACTCGGGTTCCTTTTTTCGGGGATCCAAGCCCGAGTTACCCCGGACCCGAGTTACCCCGGATAACTCGGGCGCCCAAACAATGAATCGCCGGCTCACAGAAAACATGGGGAACATATGGGGAACCGTGGTATTTGTGTGTATTTATTTGCGTGTCCCTGGGCCCCTTGATTTTGGGCCTCCTGGGCGCCTCTTGGGGCCTCCGCGGGGCCTGTTGGGGCGGAAGGCTGGGATGTTCGGTTCGTGTGCCTTTGCTTGGGCCCTCTTTGGAACCGTCTTGTCGGAAACTGGAGCATATACAGTACCAGTGGCGGACTGGACTGTTTATCAATTCCACGGCTTTTTCGAGGGTCGAGGATGACGTCGGGGTGGGTGGTGGGTCCGGGGGAAACGACGACAAATGTATACACCAGGATCGCGTATACACCAGGATCCGCTTTCCAGTGCGAGTTTCAGTGCGGGGCGGGAAAAAGCGCCGGTGTATAGAGTTTGGCTCCTTATCGTGGGGCTCTTTTGGGCCGTCTTGAGCGCCTCTTGGGCCGTCCTGGGGCGCTCCTGGTCCGTCTTGAGGCCCCTCTTGGAGGCCCCTCGGGCCGTCTTGGGGTGGTCTTGGGGACGTCTGCTCTGCCTTGGAGCGTCGGGAAGCCGAAAAGGCGAGAGCACCACCATTCTTCAAGCAGCCCCAGGAAAAAGCATGGAGGCTTGCCTCGTGGGGCTCGCTTGGGTGCCTCTTGGGGCGCCCTGGGAGCATCTTGGGCCGGAGGAGGAGGAGGAGGAGGAGGAGGAGGAGGAGGCGGGGCCCGCTCGAGCGTCTTGGAGCGCTCTCTCGGCGACTCGGGGCCTCTGGGTTCGTCGCGGGGCCCTTCTCGGGCGGGAAACGTCACGCGCTGAGACGCGGCAGGCGCCCCCCAACCGAACGAGAGGGGCCCCGAGAGGTGTTGCAATGTGTCGAAAACTGGAGCATCTACATTTTCCAGTGGCGGGCGGTTTTTGAATTCTATGACTCTTTTGAGGGTCGTGGACGACGTCGGGGTGGTGTGGTGTATACTTGCTTCCCCGTTTTCCCAGGGAAACGACGAAGAATGTATACATCAGGATCCCGTGTACACCAGGATCCGCTTTCCTGTGCGAGATTCAGTGTGAGGCCAGACAAAGGCGTTGCTGTATAGAGTTCGGCTCCTTAATTTGGGCTGCGGGCCCCTCAGAGAACCTCCAGGAGTGAGGACTGCGGCTCAGGCGATGTGGCAGAGGATCTGAGGACACGCCCGCTCAGTGCCGAGCGGCACGGTGGCGGGTAAGGAAAGAAGGATGAAGTGAAGAGGAGTACGAGGGGTGAGGAGGAGGAGGGAGATACGGGAGCAGGGATGATGGAGAGATGAGAACCAGGCGGGAGGATGATGATGCGGTTGGAGGGCGAGGAAGAGAATGAGGACGAGGCGGAGGAGGGTTTGGTGTGTTTCAGGGGTGTCTTGGGGGGCCCTGGGGCTGTCCAGGGTGTCTGCTTGTACATCTGCCTTACATCTCTGCTTCTTGCCGTTCTGTCTGTACCTGTCTCTGTTTTCTCTCTATGTTTTTTGTTTTTTTCTATATCTCTCTCTACATATATATATATATATATATATATGTATCGTGTTTTGTGTTCTCTCTCTTCCTCTCTCTCTCTCTCTCTCTCTTTTTCTCTCTTTCTCTCTCTCTCTCTTTCTTTCTCTCGCTCTCTATATATGTGTGTCAAT